TGACGATGAAGGTTGTGATAGTGTAACAGCAGAGGCTCAAACCATCCGCTGATCTGTCATAATGAGTAAGGACAAAACGAAAAACGGCTTTCCTGCCATATGGTAATACTTACCTCCTCAAATGCAGCACTGTTAGACGCTAGCATAGACCATGCGATGTCAAGGACACGCCCGCATAATAGTGGAAAAGGCGCCTCCTGCGCACCATATTCAGGTGTCAGCCACACTGCGATTCTTGCGGTCACCCTGTCATGAAACTTGGCGATGGTATTCCATTGCGTTGCTGTAGTTCTTGATAAGTGCCATTGAGAGCGCAGCTTGCGGACCAGGTAGTTGGAGTAGTTGTCCAGGCTTGTAGTGTAGCTGGGTGCCTGGGTCCCAATATCCTTTAAAGGAATGTTTTCGAACTGATCATCGACTTGAGTTGACATGTCGTCAAAGACATCATTGAAAATGGCGGTATCTGGGTTAGCCGCGCTATCGTAGATCATCTGGCGCCACTCCTCCAGTTTGGTGACAGCCTCGTCGCAGCCTGACTCTTCGTCGTATGCGGCTGCAATTGTGTCACTCACAGTTGTGTAGTCTGGGAAGGTGTCATTGGATGCAAGCAGGCGTAGGATGTGAGTGTGAAACTGAATAAATTGGATAAACATCTGTAACAATACGTAAGGTCCAGCTGTGCATACTAGGCAGACAGGGCTTACCCCCATCACAACATCAATGGATCGAGCTAGCCAGGTGATATGGAACTCTCTGCGACGGCGGAAGTGCGATCCCAACGGCAGGAGATCGATGGCAAGCGTCAACACCAGCTTCTCATAGCTGAGGATTTTGGTCAACCGCGTATTTTTCTGCCTTTCCATATTGTTGCGCTGAAGCTGCAGTTCACTCTGCGCTGCTGCAACCCGCTCTTCCTCTGGTGCATCCTTATATGCTGCCTTTATCGATCGCAAGATGCCGCTAAACAACTCTTCGGACGTTTCCTTGTACTCGTGCAAGGACTTGTTTCGGGACAAGTAGTTTGCTAGTGTATCGCCGCCTGCCAAGACTGTGTCTGTAGGTATACATCAATGTATCAGCTCTAGATATATATGCCTCCACTGAAACCGTTCCAGTGGCGGAGTTTGTCAGGCCAGGCATAAGTCTATTGATCTCGCGAGTATCATACTGATGAAGAGCAGAGCTCAGGAAAACAATTGAGTCTACTCGCAACCAAGGTGAGACCGTGCTGACAATATTGCGCCACTGGATCTGTTCCACATATGAAATTGCTTACCTTCATCATATACGATGACTCCCCACTTTCCCATTAGAACCAATGCACCTCGCAGCTCACCAAGCTCGCTGCGAAGGCGGTTATACTCGGCAATGTGCTCCTCTGATGGATTCCTCATCTCATTTATTTTGTGGCGGCGTTTCTCGACAGCGGTGATCTCATCCAGAACGTTCTTTGAGTATTGCTTGAGCGCAGCGACGCGATGTTGACCGGATGCTACTACAATAGTATGGGCATCCTTCAATTGCAGGGGTGGCACCCCCTCCTCGTTGAAGTTCAGTGCGAGTTGCAAACCACTCTGGAGGCGTGTGCTTGACACCATAATCGGTATGGCAGTATCTTCTCGCATCGCTAGGATTCCTTCTTTCTTGAAGGATGTAAGCAGCTTGTTCACCTCCCTCTCGACTTGCGGACGGTCGTTGTATTTGCCAAACAGCAGTGGATTCTGGATCTTGAAAATATCAATGTATGCCACACCCAGCCTGCACTTGGCAACCTCCATGTCCATCTTCTGAGTCGCATGAGCTGGGTCGTTTGTTGGCGTATTTGCCTCTACTGGGCGCTTATCCATCTTGGCGCGCAACTCTTTCACCTGTATCCATTACTAGTCAACCTTCTTGTATTCTACGACTTGTTGATGATGAAGACGTACTGTCGGTCTCTCATCGGCAGATGACTCGGAGTTGCGTTTGCGGCGGCCCATGTCGATTACAGCGGTAGGTGTACTATGAATAACCTTTGCAGCAAGGTTGAATCTTGCAGTTCAATTTGTTCTGGCTCAATCTTATGCCAAATCAAGATCCCGAGCCGCTCACTGAGTGGAGCTTTTAGGCAGCTGCTCGCATAGCGTTGCATCGAAGTCTGTGCTCTTAACCAATTAGGCTGAGGACGTCATCTTTACAAATTGGCAAACAACTATTCACTCTCACCATCGGACTCATCGTCGTCATGCCGTCATATTCTCATCAGCATCTTCCTTATCGCTGCCGTCTTGTCAGCCCTCCTCAGCTGCCTCTGGATCGCTCAGTGTTGGCTTTGCCAGCGGTGCTTCTTGGCGACGCATGGCATCTCCTGGAGGAGAGTAGGTGAGCCACACGTCAGACACCTTTACTAGTCTGGCACCTGGAGGTGTATACGTTACTGTAACATACTAAACAGATGGTTCAAAAGACTAGATCTAGAATCACTGCCAATCAGTAAACTGGTGAGAAGTCGATATTGTGTAAGCCCCAAATGCTTCTTCCCGGTACATTACGATAAGATGTAATATACTTATAACGTTAACGATCTAAAGCTACTTATGTAAATCGTACTATTCAACATCGTTCATGCAGAGTGCTGGGTTGCGAGGTATGCTCGCGCTTCAGTTCTGTTCATGTGCACATGTTTTACCTGTTCGGGCTCTATTGTTTACATCGACGTGTAATATACATGCTTCTTATCGATTTTCACTGGGACACATCAAGTATCAAAGAAGCGGCAAAGGAACCTACTTGCTGCAGCCTTCACATCAGGATCAACTTGGATGGAGGGAGCTGATAGCATGGCGCGAGCAACCTCAATCTTTGACATGCGTTCCGCTTGCTTCTCCTCTCGAGCCAACCGTTCTTGCTGAGCTTCAAAACGTTGTTGGTCCAACTCCCCCTTCTGCTTCAGATACTCATCTATTGTTGCCATTGACACAGCTTTCTGCTGACTCTTCCCATACCTAAGAACGTTGTCAGCAAAATGAAAAGCAAGTCATTGAAAAAAATCTGACCTAATAGAGAAAAGTTCGAACCAACCCCGAGTATACCAATCATTAATCGCTTTAGCAGAAAGTCCCCCAACGTTATGGCCAGCAGCCTTAGCATTCGTGATTTGATTCTCGAGTAAATTGGCATCGATCGCAGACCGCAACGACTTACTCGGCTGATTCTTCCCAAGGTTTGCGAAGAAGGTTCCATCGTCGTCGGGTGGTTCATCTCCGCCATCGTCGCCATTGCTAGTATATGCCTCAAAAGCTACGATCAACGAGTATGTTGCCATAGAACGACTAAATTGGCTCTGCATTGACTTCCAGCTATGTTTGCCCTTGAAATTCGTCACCGAAAGCTAGACAAATCATAAGTATGCGACTCATACAAAAACTCAAGACTCGCCTTTTCGAAGACTGCCTTTGGAGCGATTTTGAGCAATTCAAAAATGTCGTCAGAGTCAGGGCCAAGTATACACTCGAACAATAGGGTCTTTTCGTCAGCAGACCAGCGGGTATTTCGCATCACCTGGTCTACATGATCACCATCGTCTTCTAGGTTGATATTAGGAGGGAAGACATTCTCCTCTGTAATCGCGTTCATCTGCATGGCCTTGGTGGTACTATATCTACGGGGCTTCTTGGCTGATCGCGATTTTGGAGCAATTGTGCCTGCACGAGCACGTTTTACATTACCCTTGGTAGGTGTGGGTGTACTGGGCTCCGGACATAGTGAAAGCAATGGGAAGGGAGCCATTGGAGTCCCTCGACTCCGTCCTAAAATTAAATTAGTAGCAAACGCGATTGTTGACTCAAAAAACCTACCGCGGTTACCATAGTAGTCCAGGCCTACATTATGGTTATCCCTACCCTTAGCACTGACTCTTGTAGTGTCGTTGACAATTGTTGAGTGCGCCAGTGGCTGGTGTTGGATAGTGTCATACGTTTGACCTGTCCGCATGTGTTGCCTGCTATATGCATGCGGCAGTGGCACGAACGAGGCGTTTGGAATACAGGAGGTGCTGGGAGTACAACTTGGAGTTGGCAAGTTGGACGGCTGCGAACGTGCCAGCTAGTAGTGATAGCGTAAATCAGTCTGTTCGTCGTGGAACATGCTACACTTACAGCCAGGAGAGCCAGTGCATACTCGTCAGATGATTCCCGAGGCATCAGAAAGCGGCTATCTACAGGTATAAGCTGAATATATGTCAGCTCACGTTCCCGTTATTCGAACAAAATTAACCTAGGCTGCACCAAACGACTTCCGATGATCAACGGAACGGCGTGTGCGTTATTTGTGGGTGTTGGTGGATGCCGAACGTAAGCTTGGCGAGAGCCCAAGATCTCTAGATCCTCGATCTGAAAGATATATCGAAGACCGACCAGAATGGCCGCTTCAACATTACGAGCACTTTCGACATACTATAATACTCATTTCTCTCTTGATACTCGGATCCTCTCCGGGTCGGCACTCGATGTGATATTCGGCAGCCCAGGTTTCAACGTTTCAACTGTCGTTGGCGGTGGATCGGATATATGTGGACGCCACGAGATTGATCAGCACCGACGGAGACACTTCCACTGGAGGACTGGAACCAATATAGAAGCACCGAAATATTGAGGCAATTTGTTCCTGGACGGACCGTCCAACTGGGGGTTGAATAGTACTGCTCAGGCTGGAAATGGTTGCATATTCTTAGTAGTTGTAACATGTTCAGACCTAGACTCGTGACCAGTCTGGACTACGCGTGTTGTTAATTATTTGACGTAGTCAGACTGGTCGATCTCGGAGAAATTTGGCAGGACGAGCGAGGAGTTTGAAATTTGACAGATGCCGGTCATGCCGGTTTAGGTAATCGTTGTAATTGTACAGCGTTGACAACACTAGTCCTTCGCTTGCACCTTAAGCAAAGTATTGTATGCCTCTCAAACATCATAGCCCATCGAGTAACAGTATTAACGATCTAATAGGACGATAAAATGATACCTCTGCAGCAATTTCAGAGGGGTGACTGTGATGGCTATCTTGTTGGGAGAAAGCAGTAAAGGGAGAATCATAGCAAGGGTTTTTCCAGAGCCTGTCGCAGCTCGAAGTACAACGTGTCTTGCAGAAAGCAACGATATGAGGCATCTGAGCTGGAACAACTTCGGCCGTTGTGATCCTCGGGAAATAAAATTGAGCTGCGAGAAGGCCTCGAGAACTTGCTGGTGTTGTGGCATTGAAAGGGCACTCGTAAAGTCCGCCGGGAGATCTTCAATTGCATCTCGAGCAGCGAGCGATAAAGGTCGTATGGAACACATGGTGAACACTTAACATATTATAGAGTCTCAACGACGATAGACGCATAAGTTGTACTACATACAATCGAGTACCACCGGCACGACCGGCACCTGTTAAATTTCAAACTCCTCGCTCGTCCTGCCAAATTTCTCCGAGATCTACCAGCCTGGCTGCGCCACTCGACGTGGTGTTAGTAAGCCAGGCTGGTAACGAGCCTAGTTCAGACCGCCGCCCACGCATAACCGTTACACCAAAGGTGAAATACTGAAAGCTAAGCCTTCAGTATTAGCGACGGTATATGTACTGATTATGAGAACTCAGGTAAGCCAGCGTGCTTACAGTAATATTAGATCTTTCCCCCTGCAGGCTTCCAGCGGTATTGACAGACCCACGTCTCAGTTAAAATATCCTACATTAGAATTAGATCTTGTGCATTGTTGAGGTACTATTAGTAGTACTCTATTGCTACAAGGTCAATATCCCAAGTTCAATTTGACTTTTGCTCGTGCACAACTTCGCCTCGCCGCTCCGTTGTCTAATAACATCACAAGTCAGAGGTCATCGGTCTTTAATAGGATGATTTTCGTTTGAGTGGGTGGTTAGTAGCAGCTTCTCGTCAAAATCGCGTAGAAGACGAATATTTCTCCTGATCATATTAAGTAACACCGACCGCTATTTTACCCGACCTGAAACTTCGGTTCTGCAAACAGATATCACTGCTAGCTTTGGCCGATGAAATCAATTGAATGTTGTTTCATGTCAACAAATCCTGCACCTTGCGCCTCCATTACTCTAGCAGAGAGATCCAAAAACTGTGGAATGATTGTAAGTATTCGGAAAAAAATGGAAGGAGCGATTAAATTACCATCCGCTCCTCTTGGAGCATATGTTCATGAAGGCAACGGTTTGTGTTTTGCATATGCACCAGCAATGTTCTGATGCTACGAGGACTTAGACCCGGATAAGTTGACACACGCTCGAGATCAAGCGGAGGTGTATTGTTGACAAGACGCAGTTGTTCATGCAAATACAGAACATAATGTTCGAGACATTCTAGATATTGGCGTCTTTTCTCGTGTGATGAAATAGTATCACTGTAAAATATCACTCAAGGTGTGAAGGTCAATTCGTCGAAACACTGCAACTTACGGATTGGTAGGGATGAAACCTATCTCCTCGGCAACTGTACGTTGTAATGCCTTACGTCGACTCTCTGTCTTATTCGTGTTAGGAGCAGCGGAGGTAAGAGGCTCATCGCTACGTCCACTGCTTTGAGACTGCTCGTGCTGTGTCGGGTGAGACAAGGACGAGGAAAGTGTGGTAGAGATTTGAGCAAATGGTATTGAAAGATCTGTAGGAAGTTCCGAGGGGGTTGGTGAAAGAAGTTGCGGGGCATTTGCATAATAATCGAGGATATTGGTATCGGTGGTGGTGGTGCCTGGGGTTTGATTTACAAAAGGGGGGTATGGGACGTGGTGGCCATAGTACGTTTGTTCCACGTACGGTGTATGAATTTGACGGGAGGGGTTTGCTACATGAGGTGGGCCATAGGGGACCGGGACTGGAGCATATAAATGCATTTGTACCTTCATCTCCGAGTAGTCATATGATCGAATAGGTGGGTAGGAATGATTCAACGCAATTGATGTATCTTCAGCTAGGCCGTAGGTCTCTCCCGAATGTTGTCTAGTACCGTTGTGATAGTCTGAACTTGGAGCAGGATGCCAGCTAGTATCGTCAGTGAATTGTTGATAGTATTGAGAATAAAAATTGGCAGATGGTTGTTGAGAGATGGGATACATGTTTGCAGGGATGAGAAATGGGTGAACGGCGAGCCTGATAAGAGGAATGATATTCTAGATAAAGATGACATGTAGACGCAGACGGGTAATTAGACTCAGAAGAAAATTTTGGGTGCCAAAGCGAGCTCCAGGATCAGGTCTAGACGGGCGAGGCGAATGAATGAACGCCAACTCGGATGAAGGCCAAGGTTCAGAGTAATTGAGTCATCGACGGAGGTTGAATATTGCGGTAGATGTAGGGCATGGGAAACGTTTATGGACGCTCGCAGATCAACATTACATAGGTCACATCAAATGAGTCGTAATACCGAAAGGCTAGTCTCTGCTATCTAAGGGTGCGGCGTCAGTTGGAATAAAAGTTAATTTAGTTATGAGGAAGGTCATCACTCAACTGAATGGATCATGTGCAGATGATGTGGCAACGAGATGGTCGGCTCTTTGCGCAACAAATCGAGCTATTATGACGAAAACTTAGTAATGCTGGGTTCAAAGCTGAAAAAAAGGTCTGAGGAAACTTGGCAACGCTTTGTTGAGGTCAGGAACAAAAATTAATGGGGCAAGTTGGAAGTGGAGGTCTTGATAAATTATCAAGGGCTTGATGTTGAGTTCAGAAGCCGAAGGGCTAAACGAAGCGAGATGGTAGTAGTGAGCTTGGGTAGTCGCGGTTGGACTTGAATGCACCAGAAAAACTGCGGCTGAAATTATGTAATGAAACCTAGTAACAACGGAGAAGTTACAAGATTGGCAAACGATGAACGATCAGACACTGTCATTGGCTGACTACGCTACTGATGTAACTCAGGTACTACATATAGAAGTGCCTCCTCAGCTCTTCAAAATAAATCGCCAGCCCGTCGAGATAAACTATCATATGAATCATGAAGGAGACTGTAAATGCCGCAAGTGTCTAGGCAAATTAAAAACACGTTCAGCCTTTCTGACCATTGGATTCGTCATACGTTTGTACATCCCCCAAATTCTTCCAGCCAAATGAATACTTGCAACGTGCCGATAATTACTTGAGACCATTACATAAGGTCAATATCTTTGCTGATCCTAGAATCGCTGCTTCCCCCGCTTTAGGGCTTGGCGAACCTGCCACTGCATAGTACTCTAAGTACTGTCGACGGCCGGCCTAGTGACAATAAAAGGTTTTTTTTAATCGGTGAGAAATACAGATGCCACTGACATCGGTTATTAAGCATCAGTTATTGACTAGGTAATATGTGACACCGAGGAAAGTCGGACGCATTTTTTAGCCTGTCGATGATTGTTAACAATTATATATATTCAATACAAGAGCCTCCAGTTATCTGCATCAGCCAACACCATGTAATGATAATCTAGTCGCTTCAGCTGTAAAACTGCGATCAGCGGTATAGAGATAAACAACGGAAGACTGGCTGACCGCTTGGCCTTTTCCCCGTACAAGCTCCTTTTCGATTATGAAGAAACGTTCAGGCATGACTTTTGCAGCGCTATAGGGTTGTCTAGTCATTAGCAGCAACAGCTGAAGTTCATATATCTTGTTAAAAGGAAAGGGAACCCAGCGTCTGTGCAAGGGCGTTCAGGCGATTGCTCAACGTTGCGAGCTGCTCGAGTTGTATATGATAGACCTAAGAGACTATCATCATAGTAGGCGTAAAAAAATATCCGACTGACCTATCTTAGTTTCTCTTTGTACACAGCGCTTTCATCTCTGACCGTTGAGCGCTCCAGCAACTTTAGTTTGCGTGCCCAGCGCTTTTGAATACAGAGCACAACCAAAATCTACACCCTCACAATTTCCTATCCATGTAGCATCCACTTCTTTCCTCCGCACCTCCATCTGGGACTCAACGGCGTTGGTCAGGGTATGTTGTAACGTTTGTAGTTCATCGTCTTCCAGGACGATTTGTGCTAGGCCGAGTTGAGCATGGAGTGTCGGTATAAGTGAAGTTCTGACATTCAGGTGTGTGTATGGTGTTGATAATGGCGCGCTCAACGTTATGGCATGTTCGACGTGATGAGAGATCATAGATGTGGCATCCACCAAAAGTCGCGGTGATGCTGCAAGTTTGTTTATGTAAATCACGTGATAAGGGCCAGGCATAAGTCTATTGATCTCGCGAGTATCATACTGATGAAGAGCAGAGCTCAGGAAAACAATTGAGTCTACCGAACACAACACGCGCCGATTGCAATTCTACACGTGCCATTTTGTTCATGCCCCAGGGCGCAAGGTTCTCATCTACGATGGTTGGTCCAAAGTCGATGCGCCCATCAGCCTGAAGGATATCGAAAACGAACGATACTGTGCCCAGAAACATGAAATTGGACATATACGTATCTTTTTTCGCCAATGTTTCAAGTACGAAAGTGCATTGTACCCCAGGTTTGAGACTGTCAAAGCTGAATCCAATGGCGAATGTGATGGGAACGCACTAGTAAACAATAAGCTCGTCAAACTTACTGCCGACTTCAGCGTGGCAGCACGCTGTCCCTTGGCCAGTTGAGCCTGGCTTGGATGCCTGATCTACATCGGCGCTCTTAGGATGATTCCAGAATGACTGCGCCAGCATGGCTGCGCTTCGTTCGAAAGACAAATGTAGTGAATTGGCACTCATTAACATAACATTACCGACTCCCGCGCCCAGACTTCCTCGGAAGAGATCTATCGAAATCAAGTAAGAGGCGATAGCGAGTTTGTTGGCTGTCAAACTGGTTGTCGGCAAACACCGTAAAGCACCTTCCAGCTTCAAGTTGGCAATGTTCTTTCTAAAGCTAGGAACTGAAGGCAAATTTAGCACCGTACGTCCGTAAAGTACCTCCTGCCGGTGTACGTCATCCTGCTAATCTAAAAATGCATGCTGATCCAGCCCTTCTGAAGTTCTTCAGGACAGGTCTATTCATGTTCTTGTTCGCTTCCACTCAGGAAGGAGTGCCCATGGCGTCCCGATGGAATAAGTCATCAGCAACCCTGACATACAATACAAAATGGCTGAGTTGAAACTAATCTCGCTCCGTCCAATTTTCTGCGCGCAACCCAACATGGCTAATACGTCTCATTGCTCGAATGACAGGTAAGCCACTATGTGCGATGTGCTCAATTCACTGATTTGGAGCGCTTGTATTCAGCAGCAGCGAAGATGATTTTGATATCGACGAGGGTTTCTTGTCGAGTCCTGACGATGAAAGTAGTCCATTCAATCTAGACGATGTCCCTTCAGGAGTTGAATCAGAAGACCCTCTGCAACAACGAGAGGTGTTCGATGGTATCTTTCTTGCTCGCGAAGGCCAAGACAATACCGGCCCTACGTGGGAGCAGACTCCCATCTGTAACATGCCTCTCTCTGCCTTTGAGAGATTGTTTCGCAGGAAGGACAAATCTAGCGCTGCAAGCTCCTTACTGCGCCGCACCAACCTCTGTATTGATCCTCAGTTCACCTATGCCTCTGACGACAGCAGGTTGCTATGGGATGCATCTAGACATTTCCTTGACTTCGTTCTTGTGGTCTCAGGCAACATGGGCCTGGATGCTTTCCTCCCCAATACAATTTCTGATCACACATTCACCGTCACTCTAGACTTCCGCTCGCAAACCAAGCAGTTCAGACCCAAGTTTGGGAAGCTCGGTTTTGACCCTACAGGCTCTATGATGGCAATTGGGAACGGCAGTGCCTGTGAGCTGTGGCTAGGATTTTGCCCCCTTGCTAACGTAGAGGACCTCTCTGTGGCTGATGAGGCTCCTCTGCTCAACGAAAAGAAGCACGGCGACACGCGACTGTCATCCCGCCACTTTCGCATGGCTGTGATGTTCATGGCCTATGCATTAGCAAAAATACCTACCATGCCTATTCACTTAATGCATACGTATGGTACTGACGAGGACTTTTCTTCATGGAAAATCAAAGATGTTACGAACCTTTAGTAAGTTTGAGTTCTATTTCGCTCATGGATTTCCATGCGTTTAATTCAATAACTGATGCACTTGCCTATATTTAGCGCAACGCCCACTCTCACCCTTCGTCTCGATGATCTTAAGTCGCTTCACCAAATCATGGTCTCGGCGTGGGATGCGTGGGTTGAAGAGGCGCCGCCTTCGTGGAAGGTGGATGGTTGGCTGGACTCTCACGTCCCTCTCTCGGTAGCTTGTCGCTATGGGCAGAATCAGCCCATTGCCAGTTCAGACCCCGATGCGCGTAGCGTTGAAGAAAGGAATTGGCAAGTTGAGCGGGAATACTCCAATATTCGCTATCTATCTATGGCCATTGCAACAGATCTTACGTGCGTATCCTCTTGTCTGGACAAAGCGCCTGACAGCTTATTCGCATTACAAACAGCTGCAAACCAGTCCGTAGTTGGCAGGAGGTTCCAAATGAGGAGATTCTGGAAGCGCACAATATTATATATGATTCTCCAGATCCAATGTTCCGACAACCTGCCAACCTGGATGATTTTCCAGCTCGAGATCCCCAGACTCAGAAGGAGAACAACATATATGATGAAGAGGGTCATCGCATTCCCCGTTTTCATGGTATATGTAGCAGCAACACCAAGCCTTGCGGCGTGCTAATTAATCTGGAGACTATTACGGAGTTGTTCTCTACATTCATTCCCGACGATGACAACATGGCGCTCGACCCAGATATCATTTTTGACGATGACACTCGTACTCCTATTGTCAACGTCTATCCTCAAGCATTCCTACGAAAATACGGTCACATACAATGTAACTCTATCTTGCCTCATTTCGCTCCATTCATGTCCAAGATTCGCAATGCTGTTTCGCGCTCGAGTCCCGATCAAAATCAGGATCCATTTGACGGCCAGACTGCGGATGGTGATGCAGACGAGTTCGATCGCTTGCCCTCTGGATCATTACCCACTGTACTCTTCGCTAGTGGTTCCCAGTTTTACAACGAAATTTCCCACCGCATCAGACCATCCGCTGACCTTCACGACGTCCAGCAAGGGCGCATCACATCGGCCCTCTCAGGCGCTTACTCTCACGGTCACGGCCAAACCACGCACCGCATCGTGATGAGGGAATGCAGGCTCAATCTCCCTCACCAACGCTATGACAATAAGATCAAAGTCAACGATATTCCCCGGGCTTTGCGTCTAGAGAACATCTACATTTTTCAACTGGACTCCTTGAAGCGCCATAAGCGCAATGGAGCGTGAGTCATAGCATTAATATCTCACCATGCATTGCGGCGGCGCTAACAATATGCCTCTGCCTTAGCTCCATATATAGAGATATAGTGGTACCCTTAGCCAGCTCTTGGTCCCATCCCACCATATTTCAGGCCCTCCGCCCCCATCTTCTTGTATTGACTTCAGAGGTGCGCTGCTTTTATTCGTGGAAATATGTATATATGCTCACCGCACGCTTTCCTTATACCATACCTTCAGGCATTTCCCCAGGTATACCAGTGGACTACCTACCCCATCACGTCCCTGCTAGAGCGTATTTGGGATCATTTTTCCCCCCTTGTCCAGAGAGGTGTGAAACCTGCCCCTCAAGCCATTGAACTCTGTTCCGTACTTGAACGCGCTTTGGCTTATGCTCACACTGGAAATACCAAGGTAATCGCTACCAGTCTCATGAGGCCTTTGTGGTTGGTTCAGAGTCTGCTAGAACACGGCCTGCCTACCTTTTCCCCCTCTGTGCGCTTTGCTGCACCTCCTTCTATTCCTATTGCGATCAGCCCTGCAGATTGGCCAACACTCACCAACATGAAAGTCCCAGCTATTGCCTCCAAGCGCTCTCAAATTTTGACATACGGCAATAACCACTTTGAGGTTTGTGGTTTCTTGTCTGCTGCGTCGGAACCGCCATTCATCCAGCTTGTCTCCCAGGCTTACAAAGCCGAGTTTCATATAACGCTTTCTGTGAATCAACTCTCTTCCAACGCCTTCCTTGGGTACCCTAGCAATCTCCGCCATGCCATTATCATTGCATTGGTCGCTCTCCAGGTGTATATTGCCGATGTCAAGACCCTTGTCACTAAAGCTGTCACCGTCGCCTGCAGTGACATGGAGGCAGAGGATGGTGGCGATGGGGAACTTCATGCAGCAGGGCGGCGCAAAGGCCTCCGCAAGTGGCTAGCCACTACTCATCCTCTTGGCTATGTTGATAAAGGATACGAATATTTGGTTTCATGCGTGCATGCTAAATCTACGGATCATCATGAAGGACTGCCCAACCCAACCAATGTGAAGCTCTCCGTTCGTGATTTTGCTCAGCTTATCTGCAATATGTCTCGAAAGACCGACCCAGTCCTCGTTGCTGCTCCTCTCATCTCCGGCGGTTGTTCTACCCCTGTCTTCCGTGTCGCCCTGGTCCATATGTGCAAGTATGCCCCAAAAGACTCTCCAACGCATGCGGACAAGTTCCTACACGATGCATTCATTGTCGCCGCTAACCACCTTCATATCAACAACGTTCCGTGGAATCGTCCTGCAGGACCCCGAGGCAGACGGTCCAGAAAGCCTGTTTTTGACTCTTGGGTCAATCTAGGGAAAGCCGTAGATCTGCAGGCAATCAAGCGCAACCACACCCAGTCAGGCAACGCAGCAGCCGAAGCATCCCAGCGAGCCCAGGCTGCTGACTCTAGGGCTGCGTGGTCTGCCGACTCTATCACCCTGCAGTCACTGCCGGATTATATTCTTAGATCCCGACTTCCTGATGAGTTTTCCCTTGAGAGCATCGACCTTGCGGACAACTCATCCTCAGACGGTCAAGAGCCCAGCTCGCGAGAGATTTATGAATGGGTATTTGCTAATTTCAACATCAATAAACCACTGCATCAAATCGCCCTCATAGCTGGCATCTACGTCAGCAGGATCATCCCCGATATCTTCTGGGCCAACTCTGACAAGCCAAAAGCACATGCCGTCACGGATCACATCGCTCTCACAAATGCCATTCGCGCCCTCCCATGGAAGCCTAACGCTAGCGGCCGCAAAGGCTGCAAACTACCCCAGCAGTTCATCGCCATGGTGCCTGCCTACATCCTAGCAGTGTATGATGAAAAAAGCCCTTTGCGCATTCATTGCGACAAGCGCAAGAATTTCCCCAAGCCCTGGAATGCAAAGAATAGTGCAAAAGGGATTGGTCCACTCCTTCTAGTGCGCTTAGGGCTTCTGAGAGCAGTGGCCGGCAGAGTCTGGAAGGGCGGTCCGCCTTTTGAAGATTGGAAGCTGCTCTCCGGAGAAGCTGTAGCTGCAAAACATCGGGAGATCGCGGCATGTCTGGCAGATCGCCAGTATGGACCTTTCCGATTGGGAGTCATGTTCTTGGGCATTGACAAAGCTGTAAGTCTTGGGCGCACATCTCAGACGTACACCATCAATCCTGCAATCTCATCCATCAAGGCCAATAAACGCGCATCAAAGGACGACTCTGATAGCGATGACGTAGAGATCATTGATGTTCGTATGGCCAAACGCTCCCGCTCGACATGACTACTGCAGCCATTCTCGAGCGCTGTAAGTCCAACATCGAAAAGGCTAGGTGCCAGGTGAACTTGACTTGAGTTCCCTGTCCGCATCGTAATAGAGTATTACGTTGGTGGGGAACATGTCGGCAGTATTTCGGTTAGAAACCTATTACATAGTAGCTTCGAAGTTTGAACGAATCGAACTTCCGTAGGACGGTCGCAAATGACTTGGAATAAAAATCTTGAGTCAAAAGCCTGGCCTATGCACTGTACCGATGTGTCGGTCTGTGTGATTATTTTGTATAAATAGTACCCTCCTTTCCATCAGTTCATTGAATTATGCGCAAATGACGAGTCGACACATGATGCATCATGTAACATATGCCACTATACTATGTACCACTGTTATTTTGGTAAAGCCTCGATTTCACATTAATATTTTTGCTTTTCGCAGCATCGGCGAGAATAGTTAGTCTTGCCAGAATCGCACTCTACGGATGAGGCTCAAAGATATAACTTCTCAGTTTCTCAGCTTCCAGCAGCCACACTACTTCAGAAAAGCGACAGACGAAGCATACAACAGGAAACTCAGCCTAGCTCCCCATCATTATCATGCCTTGACGTCAATACTTTCATGTTTGACTTCCTGTCTTGCTTTTCTCACATTGCTGTTGCAGGTTGATGCTATGGGAGGCTTCATCGGAGAGGTGTATGACGACCCACACAACAACTTCTTCCGGGTAAACTCTTGATTCTATGTAAGAGTACTGGTACTGACAACAAGTACTTGGAGTTGTCGCAGCAATCTCTTGCATTGCCATTGCCATCTCCTGGCTTTCATCTCCCTTCTTTGTTTTCGGCTCGCCGCTTGTTGGATGTCGTCTTCCAAACGTGGTTTCTTCAGTCGTCGTGCTCGCTCAAACTTGCCCGTGGAGCTTACAACCATTAAACCCAACGAACCAGTGCCAGAAGCCAATTCGGAAGAAGGGAGCGGTAAAGGTGAGGGCGAACAAAGTGGGCCAGGTGAAATTGACGCAGCACTGTAACAAATTCTAGGGTACAGATCATCTTTCAATCTTGCTTTCAATCCTCCGATTATCCTCGTTAATGATCAACAGATGAGTGTCTGCCTGCGTAAAGGCTCTATAATGTTGTATTCACTTCTCTCGAAATTTACAACCCTTGTCCTCAGTGCTCACACTACTAGTATGCATCTTGCACGTCAGTCCTGTATTGTTGTATTACCTCTAATTTGTTCATCTATGTTGGCTTTCAGACACAGTATGAAGGCATTGTCTCACTGCGTGAAGTCTCCACTTCACTCAGTCAAGCTCCATCCACTCTCTATACTCTGCACCACCACGTCAAGCGTCAATCCCCAACCACAGCATGTCAGAAGCCTCGTTTAGGCTGGTCGAGCACCACTCACACCACGACAAGTTCTCCCAAACACCTTCGCAGTCTCTGTACTGATATCAATATTCACACTCTGCCGCGTCAAGGCCCACTATCAATGCTGCATCAACACAGCACATACTGCGTTAGTGCCCAGTTGTGCCGCGTCAAACTTTATTCATGCCCCTATGGCCTTGAGAAAAAACCATTATCGTATCATGGCCTTTGTGAATCCTTTGAAATACGGAGTGGCACTTTTTATAACCATCCTCTAGGAATCAATCAAACATATATTCAACTTTTTTTATCCCAACAAGACAGAAAATCAAAACAGAGTCGGCACTCGCATGGCAAAAAAGACATGTTTGCCTGGGTGTCATTACTGGGTCCAGAGGGAGGAAAAGAAAATAGTCATTGGCTTATGTACCTAGTTGTACAGGTCCCTACAGCGAATAAATCAGGAATGGTTGTGAGCTCACCCAACGAACTCGAAGTCGAATGTAGAACATATAGGAATAGCGCGTCAAGGCTCGTCACACGCACGGCACGCCTCGTCAGACGCGCATCACAGCCGCGTCAAAACAACAATCATGAACCTGATGGACGCGGCATCTCTGGACCGGATCGTCATATGATGTTTGGTGCCAAAGCGAACTCCAGGATCAGGTCTAGACGGGCGAGGCGAATGAATGAACGCCGACTCGGATGAAGGCCAAGGTTCAAAGTAATTGAGTCATCGACGGAGGTTGAATATTGCGGTAGATGTAGGGCATGGGAAACGTTTATGGACGCTCGCAGATCAACATTACATAGGTCACGTCAAATGAGTCATAATACCGAAAGGCTAGTCTCCCCTATCTAAGGGTGCGGCGTCAGTGGGAATAAAAGTTGATTTAGTTATGAGGAAGGCCTGGATCATGTGCAGATGATGTAGCAACGAGATGGTCGGCCCTTTCAACCTGAAATGAGTCAAAGTCATGAATTCGCCAATGGCACCCACCGTTGAATGAAACTTTGAGAAAAAAGACGCGGAACACTGAAAGAACTGGACGTGCAGTCGACGATGGTCGGGCATGCAATGTCCGAGTCAATGTCATAGAGTCCAGAGTCAATGATACGGTCGTGAGAGACGTGCAGTCGACATGCAAATGTCGACTTCATGTTCGACGCTCTCGACGTCAAACGCTAAGCGTTCGACGACGATGGAGGTTGAGAAGAAAAGAGGGACCACCATTATTCACCTAATGGGTGGTTATCCCGCCAGATAGAAGGTAAAAGGTAAAAGCGAATGGAATTTTGAGAACAAAGACGCGGAACACTGAAAGAACTGGACGTGCAGTCGACGATAGTCAGGCATGCAACGTCCGAGTCAATTTCATAGTGTTCATAGTCAATGATATGATCATGAGAAACGTGCAGTCGACGATAGTCGACATGCAACGTCCACTTCATGTTCGACGGTCTCGACATCGAACGCTAAGCGTTCGACGACGGTAAAAATATCCGTTCAGTTAGAAACGCTAGGCGTTCAACTGCGTGCCGGAGGCGAATCTCAAACGCTAGGCGTTTGTTGGTACGTTGACGCCGAACGCTAAGCGTTCGAAGACGACGATGGAAGTTCAGAAGAAAAGACAAAGATTATTCAATCTACGTGTGGCGTTACAATTGCCGCATATAATTGCGGACTTTGAATGATGGTGTATGGTCGATTGCCGGCACCCGGCACGCTTCAACTTTGATTGTATAGTAGTACGATGCGAGGCAAAGGACAGGAAAGCAGTGATTCAAAGGATTGCCTAGTGGTAGTCAGCGGGTAACGCGATCCATGCTTATGAGGTCCGATTCTTAGACTCGTGGTTGACCATCGAATTCTGAAAAGACATTCACTGAATTCACGAACCTCGTTACCACTTGTCACTGCGTCCTCTAAATCGTCAGGATATTCGCTCTATGTCTGACCTTCTGTGGGGTGAATCGGAGGGCAGACAAAAATTGTCATGGATATGGAATATGCGTGGCGCTGCAGGAAGTGAAAAGGACGATAACGGTGCTTTATAAGGTAAGTGCGATACCACAAAATGCTTCTCTTACTGACAGTGCAACATATATGAAAATTGAGTGGTGTGGGCACGTGCAATGCGCTGGGGGGAAGAAGTGGAGCTGCTGCAAGAAGAAATGCGGCGTATATTAGCATTTCTGAGGTGGGAAGCAGGGTGCTGGGAGAGAAGGAGAGAGGACGCTGTACCAGCCAATGCAGAACATGAAGATGGCTGTGTGGCGTATGCAAAACGTCAGGCTGACTTACGCCGAAATCTCGCGTCGTCGTTTGAAGCACGTTGGGCAGAGACACTGGCCCTTGTAGAAGTAGATTGATTAATGAATTAGTATACTATTGAACATGACGCGTTGTAACATAAACGGAATGAATCGGGGCGGGAAGGGATCAATCAGCGACGCGCCATATTGAAGGGCAGGAGGATGTACGAGCCTAGAAAACGTGATGCATCAGTGAGAAGGATGCATCAAAGGGCGGGAGGGACGCAATGAGCAATGCGCCATATTGTGAGACGGATGCATCAAAGGGCGGGAGGAAGGGCGGGAGGGACGCATTAGCCTAGAAAACGCGATGCATCAGGCAGGAGGGATGCATAAACCTAGAAATGCATCAGGTATTAGTACCGTAAGGTAAGAAGATGCATCAAAGGGCAGGAAACGCGATGCATCAGGCAGGAGGGATGCATGAACCTAGAAATGCATCAGGGATTAGTACCGTAGGAGAGGAAAGAGCGATAATTCACAAATGCGACTTCAAGTCCAGACAGAAGCTCTAAATATAATTGAGTACTACAAAAATTCATAACATGTAGAGACGCCAGGCTACCATCTCCCAGTTCCTTTTTGTACACATAGTCAAAATCAAGTCATTCGAGCCTTCTTCCCTTGATTTATTGGCGCAAGCGATGTTTCATTTTGCGGTCTGGACCTCTTGTGCTTCAGGAGGTCGGGGAGCGGACAAAGTTCTATACCTAATTTCTGAGCACAACATTGCGCTTTTCGGAGATATTTGGCAGCTTTTGAATGCATATCCTCCAGAAGAATGTCGCTAAGCGTTAGCAAGGGATATTCCTTCTCCGCTGTCACATAGTTTCCCTGGATATCGCATGCGAAAAAAGCAATATCACTGCAAACTTTCTGGCACGTTTCTGAAATGCACTTCTGGCACGTCTTCTGGAGTTCTACATAGTCGATGAAGAAGTCTCGGCGCTTCGTATGGCCGATCGTATCAGGGAAGGCGACGTGGTACTGGTTCCACTGAGTTTGTGCATCGAAGACATTAGAATCGTGGCTGTTTGCCGTTCCCATGTCCGTGTGATAGAAGAAGACCCAGGTGAAAACCCACCATACAGATTCGATGTCGTGCAGGAAATTCATGCGAAATGGAGGTGCGTCCGTTGTACCGCTTTGGGATAATGGGAGGCGCGGGAAGAAAAGGTATTTCTGACTTTCTACTTCCACCGCCATAAAATGCCTTGTTCCCTGTAGACGAATTAGCAGCAAAACAGATCATCTTCAAAAATTCTTACTGTTCGGACATCATGAGAAATATTTGAATCTATCCTTTTCGCGTACTCGAAGTCACCCAACTTCCCCACACCCCCGACCCGAATTACGTTCCCAACACTGAAATCACGATGAACAAAACCTGATTTGTGCAGATAATACAAGGCTAAGGTTGAATAAGCGACAGAGGAAAGGAGATGGACAGTGATTTGCTCACCCTTCAGCGCGTCGGACAAGCAACTCAGAATGTCGACCAAAGAGGTGACATCCTTGAGAGCAACTCCAACGTCATGGAAGACAGTGCGAGTATGGACTCTGCGTGGGATGCTAGTGTCCTTGTCCCGAGGGTTGTCAAAGCGCGGGCAAAGCAAGTCAAACGGCCGACCTGAGTCGGGTATGTCGCCTGTGCTAGGTAAATGTGGTGTTGCGGAAAGGATGGGATTGGCATCAATGGACACCCACACCCTTGTATGGCTATGCTCTTCTGCAACTGTCAGGTTCAGCGTCTCGTCTGGGGCATCATCGATCGTGACATCCTCCCAAAGCCGGACTTGAACGAAGTGATTCTTGGCATCCACCAACTCCTCCGGCGACAGCCTCTCTGCGCATGAAGCCAAGATGTTCTCTAGTATCTTGCCCTCCGATAGACGTCCAAAATCTCTCCACGAGTCTTTGACGGCAACCTTATTTCCCTCGGCGTCTGTGGCTTCGTACACGCGAGTTCCACGCCCAACCATAGAGTCTGCGCCGTAGGTTGCAAGTTCACGTGTCGTGGTGAACACTTCATCCCTGATAGTGAACTTGTATCGGAATTTCTCCCCATCGTGGATCCGCTTAACGGTGGGGTCCCATCCGAGCTCTTTCATAAAAGAAGATGCAGACGCAGATCCAAGAGCGTAAAAGAGCGAAATAACACTATCCACGTTCTAGGCCTGTTAGCACCTTGACACACAGTGGGATACGTTTGCGTACCTGGAAGAAGTTGATAGGTTGAGTAACCGCAAGGAATGCACGATTGGTGAGCCACAGTCTCAACTGCGTGCCCTCGATTGTGATACCGAACGCAAAACGACGACAAATATCCTCGCGCATGATACTGTGAAGGCTCCAGATTATCTTCTCTTCGTCCTAGAGCAGGCTTTGTGAGCGGACGTCAACAAAATCTGTAACGGCTTACATCTCGAAGAGACTCTCTATCCTGTGCCTTCTTGAACTCGAATGGCACAGCAATATCGAACCAATGTATCTTGCGCTTGTTTTTTTCCTTGCTAAGTACAAGGTATCCATCAGGCCTGGAAGTATTGTTGCGCTCCGAGAGTGGTGTTACGTTTGGGTTCGCTGCAAAGGACGCTCTGCGATTCGGGGTTTCAGCCAAAATTCGATCAATGATGCGACCGAGGGGCTCAAACACGTTCTCTTCAGACCCTTTCGATGCGGTAGGTGGCGTAAAGTCGTCCATCGCAAGCCACTTTCGTCGTCAGTGAGAATCTTGCTCTTCGTCAAGTTGTTGCGTATGCGCTGCAGATCCTGCAAGGGAGGCAAGCCACCAACGCGTTTCAAGAGGCAATCGAATGGAACCTGCAGATACCTTTGTAAATCTGCGAGAACAGCGGCGCGGCCTAGTTTCAGATCCCCCGTGCGATAATTTGCTCCCGAGGTATGACGAGAGACTGCAACAGTATCTGGCGGTAGCGTTTGTACGTTACGCAATGGTGGTGTATGAGGGGCTTCAGGCTGCATGGCTCTAATTCAACGAGGCAAGTAGTAAGGACGGATTTGCGCGCATCAACAACTGGACGATTATGTAATCAAGGGTGAGCGATTTTTGGACAAGAAGTAGGTCAGGTACCTGTTTGGACCAGAGTCACGGTGGTTTCATATATATGTATACTAGCTGCTTGGCGCCTTGGTCAAATATCATGGAGTAGAGGAATAGTTTAAATCCCAACGACTTTAGTAAGACTGACCTTTATTTTCACTGTCTCGCTCGTCTCCAGTTTCCGATCATACTGGTACATGAGACGACTCGGGGTTTGTTCGACTAACATGTGTGTGCCGGTGAAAAAAAATACAATGTATGATATAAAGGCGACTGCAGTCAGATGGAGGAAGATTTAGAAAGGAAAGAAAAGAAAAGAGGGGGGACGATTTGCCGCGCATCCAAGCTTATATATATAATCCACCGTTCATGTAACGTACGTACGCGTGATTGAGAAGGGGGATACGAGTCATAGTATAATAGAGTCACATCGGAGATCCTCCGAGTCCGTCCTCGTACTTCCTTCTTCATGAAGCACACATCCGGTTCCTTGATCCGATCGATAGCATATCGAGAGACAGTCCGAGGAAAGATAAATTTGTTATTGATTAAATTTGTTATTGATATGAATCAAACCGTCAGTCAAGGCTGGATTCAGGCCTGATCTACTCGACGCGCAATGTCACCGGTTAACATAGCTAGTAAATCTTAAATACTTACATGTCCGGGTTTGATGGTCCATGGTAACCAATCATACTAGGTCACAATTGGTTCAAGCGGATATCTTGGGGCATCAAAGAGATTACACTGGTGCTATGCAAGGCTTTCTCGTGTCTACTACGTAATAGTACTGTAATCGTAATATCGGTAAGTATCGTAGGGTAAAGTAAAACTTCATAGTGGAACCTAAGGTAATGAGTTATCCAGGTTCGGACCCATCTCTCACACACGACAACCTTCGAGACAAATATATCTCACAAGCTGCTTGGTGGAATGGGCGTGTACACCGCAGCAGTGATAGTTTTCACCGCCTCTTTCGAGTGAGGCAGATACCTCATCGCTAGGTTCGCCTCAGCCCTATCCATCGTCATCACATTCAGTTCAAAGGTAACCAAAACAAAAGGAGAACTCACTCTCTCGGCATGTCCATAGAACTACGAAGCTGCGTAAACGTATCGTATGTATATTTCGAAAATTGGGATCCGTCTGTCATGGGGTTCAGTGTCAGCGACATTCTCTGAATTCTCAGGTGGAGTGGAAATATCACAGCCTGACTCGCCCACTCCCGCAAACGGTAGTTCACTCACTGGCCGATAAAAGTAGGTGAGCGCCAATTCAAGCATGACGTCCATACTGCCAATAACACACCTGCGAACTGTTGCAAGGTGTCGTTGAAAACAATACCACCGCTCCGTGTTTCCGAAATAACTGTTGTACAAAATTTAATTGTAATTGTTAGCATAAACCGACCGTCATCAACTAAGTGAAACATACGCCGTTGCTTCAAGCGCTTGTTGTCACTAAAAGCGTACAGGACTAGCGGATGAGATCTTGTTGCGACAAATCAGTCGACGAGTGAGATATTAAGAGAAGAGCTTACCGTGCATTAACAAAGTTGATTGCCTGATCAAGAAAATCCACGGGCACGATAGGCAATATTGGGCCAAAGAGTTCTCTATAGATGCCATGCTATCAGGAACGTATTTATAACAACAGGCAATACTGACTCTTCTAGCAAGGAATCGCCGTCTGCAACATTCTTGAAAATGGTGAGTTCGAGTCTCTTCCTCGCAGCGTCAGCGCGACCCGGAGGAACGACTTCACCCTTTGTGCGGGAAAGAAGTGAAGTGAGGCGATTGTGGTGCAAATGTGACACGATACTACCAAACAATGGCGAGTCCAGCGTACCATTTGGGAAGAATGCGTTATAATGCTTTGCAATGCCTTGACCAGCTCATCCTGCTTGTCCCGCTGTACGAGGACATAGTCAGGTGCCACGCAAATCTGTCAGAATTTCGGTTCAGTACGAGGAGTACCCCCAAATTGGTCAACATCGACTCGCCTATCCTGCATTGTGGCACTTGCCCCACAAGATCCTCTTTGCGGCCAGATCGACATCATAGGCCGAGTCGATAATGACAGGACTCTTTCCTCCTAATTCCAGTGTCAGTGGCGTCAGGTGCTTAGCTGCAGCGCTGGCAACGATCCTAGCGACCTTGCCATTGTCCGTGTAGAAAATATGGTCCCATTGAAGCTCCAGAAGCTTTGAAGTTTCAGGGATACCACTGTTAACGATGCGGTACATATTTGGGTCGAGGTACTTCGGGACTATTTCCTCCAAGAGCTGTGAGAAGGTAGGGACAAGCGCTCAGAGGGTTTTAGTACGGCAGTACAACCTGCTGCGATCGCTCCAATAAGAGGTTGGAAAGAGAGCATCATAGGGAAGTTCCATGGCCTGTTTAAGTAAGACGTCAGAAGGTGAAATTGAGACAGTATTTTCTTCCTCACGAGATTATCAACACAGTGCCCTTCGGAGCCTTGTATATCCTGGAACATGCGCATATTACTATCAGTCACATTAATGGATGATCCAATCACTCACGTTGGGTTCCATGGTTTCTGCCGATCAACCACCTCAGGATGTTCAGGCTTGGCCCGCTCTGGGAGCCGCTCTGCACTCTTCACGGCTCTATCAATAACGTTGCCCAATTCATTCGACAGGGCTTCTGTTTTTGGCTTTCCGAGGTCTTTCCATAGGGCATCGCAAACGAGCCCGCGTTCATTCTGCGCCATGCGTGCAAGCTGGTATAGCTGGTGCTGACGCCAGGGTAAGGGACGCGTCAATCCGCTACGGAAGGTTGCTTGAAGAGCCCATCTCTGATCTTCACGGCTGATTTAGATCATACGACGAGTGCTGAACAGACAGCACTTACTTTTGGAATGGTATTAACGAATGTCGTCATCTTTTAGTCGCAGAGTAATCGATGCAGTGAAAGGGAGGTTCAAGTTAAAGACTCGAGAAATACTAGCAGTTTTATGTAGAGCAACACGTTTCGTTCATCCAAAGCCGGTCGACGGGAAATGGGACTACTGGTTGTGATAACATACTATCAAAAAATAACTTCCAAGTCCCGGTCGCAGTAAGGCCGATGCGAAGCCTCAAGTACTTTCAAAGTAGGTGTTAGGTATGACTCCACAGCTATCGACCCTCTCTTCGTACCCTGACATGTTAGCAACGCAAAGGGTCTTGATTGAAAGAGCTCACGGTAAGCATGTTTCATCGACGCCAACGCCACGCGGTATACACGTGACCACGCGGCCTCTCCTCCGATACCTTGTCTTAGACTCGTGACCAGCCCGTCTAATGAGGCAAGCCGTCGATACTAAGTTGGGCTTGACAACGATAGTCTTTTGGAAGCCAGTCATGTTGGCCACACATCCGCTCTCTAGAATCAAATGACACAAAATGTCGTCAAGCTACCATTACTTCCGTGGACTGTTCGCAGCGTTCTGTCAATGTCCTCATTTGGATACGCTCAGAATGTTGATTGATGCCACGAATATTGACGTTGACCCTACAACGGAGCCATTATCATCTCGACATACATCGCCTCAACTAGTATTGGATGTACGCTTCGCTAGTAAGGTCGTGGATACAGAGGCTGTCGCTTGTATCATCTTCTCTACGCTTCCTTGCGTCGACAAGGTCTACCACTCCCCGTATTCCAGCCACGCGAATGCGTGGCGCGAGGTTCGGAACTATCTTAAAGATCTCAAATCTTCCGCAGTCGTTGAGAGTCCTTGATTCGAAAATGCAGCTGCAGGGGCCTGAATCCGTATTCAGATCTGCTATTAGGAGTTGTCATCAATCTTTAGGATATAGGAAGTGGAAACGAGCGATGGAGATCTGCGATGAACGTATTTACTGTAGGTGATCTATACATACTCCACGATTTGACTTCAGACCATACCGTATGCATAGACTCAAGCAATAATAACAGATCGCGAGAGGCTTGCGAGCGTTGAATGGTCAGCCAACGTGACTAGGCCGAAGGTTGTTTGTTGTACAATGTTCTACTGTACTACTTCGACTATGCATGTGGTATTTGACGTTCAACTGATGCTATTTTCGTTGTTCTCTTCGGCCTGACAGTCAACGCTGGGGTGCCAGCAATAAACCTCGCCTCGCCTCAAATCGTATCATATCGGCATACAATGTTTACATGCTGCTCGTGAACATTCTCTGGTGGATGTCAGTGAATATGTTGACTTTCTTCCTCGCCAGCTCGCCTTCAAGCCTTTCCATTTTGTCGCAGGTGTTAGCGTTATTATATAATATCAGAGGCTATTTCTATAAGTAAGATCATTGAAAGGGCAGGTGCCGATTCGGAGCCTACCGGAGAGTAGCACCAGCCGCGAACCGGAACTCAGCGGCTCAGCCCTGAGCCGATCATCGCGCGCGGAGGCGTGATTAGACTTCGGCTATTACCGGCCAAGTAACCATCGTGAAGGCCTTCTCCTTCGATTGAACTTCGCGAGGACGCTTGCATGTACAACACTTGTACTGAAAATCTTGATTGACCAAGTAAGGACTAGTACTACAAGGAATTATTCAAATGAATGAAGCTAATTGCCGATGCCATTGATGGGCCTGATAGTTCTCGAAAGTACCGGAGGTCGGATTGCCTCATCCCACGTAATTTAGCTTCTCTGGTCGTTCAGATTCTCTACTCGTTCAAATCTCGTTTGTGGAAGCGCTCCATAGCACATATATCTGATTCATATGTTCCTCTCATCCTCCCCTTACTCTTTCATCCCCTACCATGAACGATACCCTCTCCGTCTTAACTTCACATTTCATTGGTTAGTATCATATTTCATATTTTCATGACTTCCTGCTGACTGCTATCAGGAGTCATTATCTCCAGCATGTGAGCTTATTGCGGTCGATCCTGACTTTGTTTATCATGATCTTTTTACTAGGTTCTATGGCTTTGCTCTTGCCCAGACCTGGTGGTACTTTCGAACTTATCCAAAAGACAGATGGTCTATGAAGGCCTTGGTAAGCACCGCATATCATATGTATATCATCCCCATTTGCAAATCTCCAGCGTCTTTTTTAGGTAGCCTTTCTGTGGTTAAGTTTGTCACTTGAAACTAATTGGTTTGTACTGACTCATATTCCTTAGGGCATTAGACACAGCACAACTCGCCCTTGTCGCCGCATCAATATATCACTATGCCATAGTTTGGCAAGGCGACATCGCAATGTCATCGCATATATCTAAGTATGTCATTTCGCACTTGTCATTCTATTCATATTCATTTTTGACCAGAACGTTTGAGGTGGGCTTCTCTTGTTTCATGATATCATGGCGTCGTAACCTCTCATTACTACAGGCATCAATGGGAATTACTGTAGGTTGTCCAACATCCCTTTTAATCATAAGCATTCTCACTCTATCATAGTCAATAATAGCTTTTCTCGTGCAATTGTACGTCTGTTATTTTCCTTTGTGGCGATGAGCACTCATTCCACTTTCCAGAACATATGTTTACCGTATATGGAGACGTGAGGTCTATACTAACAGTCTTGAGAATCTACGCTCAAAACTCTCTAGTTAGCTTTGGAAACACTCTAGTCACATTTTTCATAGTAAGTTTAGGAAGTCTGCATTCATGTCCCCATTTACTCGTAGCGCTGACACACCGCAGGTCCTTTTGGCATTGGTTGCACTAGGTAAGAACAATCTATCGTCAGCCTGACATAGTTGATTGATAACTCACAGGATCAGGTGGAGGTACGCTCAGTTTCTACTCTATGTCATCTTACTCGAACTGGTCACAGCAATGGTTGTCAAAACGTGAGTTTTCTTGGTCCAACACTGGACTAATTGACACTGGCATTTCTCCCAGCATCCACGATCCTCTGTGGGATAGCACTCGTGTTAGCAACGTAAGCTCACCTTCATATCTCTTGGCAAACTTTCACACCTCACGCTACCCTCAGCTGCCCGCTTCTAGTTTTTACTTGTCTTTGATGGCATGCGACTTCCTCATTGCCGCTACGCAAGTGTACTTGTTTCATAAGTCCCGGAACGGGAGAGGAAGGTTCGTCCTGTCCATTGTTTTTTAGTCTTATGGGCTCATTTTTGTCCAGACTCGGCGGTCTCATCAGCAGATTGACTGTGCTGGTTGTCAATGTGGGCTTGATAACTACGTAATCGTGTCCCCATACAGCGCTGTTTCCACCACTGACTCGTCATTTCAGTATAGATGTCACGCTATTTCTCATACTGGTACGGATCTCGACGGAAGAGGTTATCCCACTCACAATCTCTCCCTTTCAGTTTCTCGTCTGCCCCCGCAATGGTGCCTTTCTCGTCCCATACACCCTCATGAGTCACTGTGCGCCCCTCCGCCGCTTTACCTTCTATCACATATTTATCCCGCATTGCAGGCTATCTAAATAGTTTCCTCAGCGTGTAAGTCTATCTTCCCACCTCAATAACCAAAGCCTCATCCCCACAAGTCTTAACTCTCGTCTTGAGCTGCGGGAACTGGCCGATAACAACGAGGTAGGCCATCTAGTCCTTCTCTGGTGCTGACTGTACCTGACGCGGCGCCTTCACAGTATGCTTGTCCCAGCATCTACACCATTACTTCAGAGCTGGCATGATGTGAACTTCAGTTCCCTCTATAGAACCCTCTTGTAGGATATAGACATTGCACCGTACATTTATGTTACTGCAACTTCCTCAGCGAAAATTGTTCAAACTCTCTGGTCATCCATCAGTGTTAGTGCCCTCTTCAGCAAATACTACTCCAGTCTGCACCATCGTCATTTGTCTCCCCTCTGGCAGTCATCAAGACCGACTGAAAGTAGCTTTACCAGACGGACACAAATTGAGCTGCTGGAGGTTAAGAAGCCGAAACTCGACATTTTGTACGCTGAGCCATGTTTAGACAGACTTTGGTTTGTTTTTCCAGAAGGACAGCGGTATTTATTTGTCTCGGTGGCTCACCATATTCTGCGTCTAGGGTGTAAAGTACGATGAGCGGCCAAAGTCACTCTATGCCAACCCAGAACAAGCTTTCCTACTAGTAGATACCGTAGTCGCACAATGCTCAAGGCCTCTGGTGGAATGTTGTCATTCATTATCGCGTCATCCTCCAAGAACGACAGGTCTCCACCTCATATTCTTATCTCAAACGGAGCTATGATTGCAGTATCTGAAAAAGCAAGCGCGTGTCAATATTAGCCGCAGGATTCTCGTAAAGCCAGAAAGCCCAAAGAATAAGAGCTGTGTTGATGAGATGGACCGATTCACGACATGTTGAGACATACTCTGACATATCGAAGTAAGGCATAAGAAGGGGTTGAGCGATGAGCGTGCCACTCGCCGGCGGTCAAAGCCAAAAGTAAAAAAAAAAACCGAAGATCCTGCATCGTCAACCCAACGCTGAGGATTAAACTTGTGCGGTTCTGTGAAAGCCTCAGGATCGTTTGCGATAGCCCTAAACGACGGGCGTCAGACATGAAGGTAAGAGGACGGAACTGATTGCCTACTGGACAATGGTTGCCAATAACAGTTGCACCTGCGGGAATGATGTAGTTCTTCCAGATTATGACCTTAATCGCGCGATGGAAGATCCGCTGCGGAAGAAGTCCGAATGGACCGGGGTCGGTTTCGTCTAGCAACGCAAGAGGCGCAAAAGAGTCCTGAAACAAGTCATAGCCCAGCTCCAGTTCCGACCCAGCTCCATAAGGAAGTTCCAGTTGTCACACTGCGCAGCTTGCTTAGTTCAGGAGTGAAAAATAGCGATGGTAGACTCACATTCATCTCGAATTTCGTGGAACTGTATCTGTAGAACAGTCACAAAAAAAAATGTCGTCGATACTCGTATAATTTGATATCTTGGTGGCCGCCGTTTGAGATGGCTACGTTGTGAGCTCAAGGTGTGTCTGATATTAAATGTCGGATGCTCATTCCTCGAGGATGACTCCTATGGTCTATCATGACTCGATGAACTAACTGAAGTGCGGGAACATGTAAGGTGACAGAAGCCATGCTGAGGATATACCAACGACATATAGCATCACATGCGGTCCAAACAGATGCAGTCTCAGAACGGAGACACGGAATCAACAAGAGGCAGCAGGGTTTATCATCGAGTGCGATGTAGATGTGGAAAGCCCATGGCGAGGATAGCAAGGTAAGTGATTTGCAAAGAGCATCTCGCGACGAAGCCAGTCACGGCGTGAATACTTGTGAATGTAGACCGCAAGGTTGTTGTAGTGGTTTCTCCAACAATAGTGGATGTCCCCGCCGGTGGTGCGTTTAAAGTGTCAGATTGCGGACGAGGACGCGGCGGTTGCACATGCATTTTCTGAACCAACGCATTGACGGTGCGATGCCTGAAATATTTGTCATTAACATCCTGGTTCTAAGTTGGTGAAAACTTACAAATTCATGTGCTTCGAGCCGCGAAGACGTCAATGATTACTTCAACTTAGATCACTGCCAGTGCAATGTAGGCTCGTGATTAGCCTGGCTTATCAACGTTGTGGTCCAGATGAGTCCAAGTGCGATGTACGCGTGGTATACACTAGCGGAGCACGTCAGTGATGGAAACAGGTGCAACACGATGACGAACATACCTCAGTAGTGTCAAGACAGTATTGAGATGTTCGGAAGATGCGAGAGGGCCTTTGAACTTGGTGCTTATGTACTGTAAGTGGTTAGCCAAGGTAGCCTGGAGGATCGTCGTGCAGAGGTAGCACATGGTATGGTAAAGAAATCAAGAAGCCGCCATGACGCGTGGTATTAAGAAGGTGAATATGATCAGGATCATGACATAGCGCACGTACGAAAATAGTAAGGGATTATCGAAGAGCACCCAACATGTGGGATTGTTGTAGGGCTCGTCGTCGATCCGAGATTAAAGTGCCTCGAGCCCTCTGACGTTGCAATGAGGATGCAGCGAGGTGTTGAATTTCTAGCCAACCGGCCACAAGATATTGAATATTGCAAGGTCTGAGCGTGTTAATCTGGTTTCATCATGAAAATGTTGCTCCGAGTCGCGTGCTTTGACAAAAAATATCTCATGGATGAGTCCAATTGCAAGAGGGTTGCGCTAAATTATGTAATTTTAGAGATTTGAATTACCGCCGTGACTCTCGAGGCATGAAGTTTGTCCCCCAGGCTATACAAACGCTCAAAACTCAAATTTGCCAAGATCAAACTCTGGAAATATTCAGAATCGAGTCGAATCATCCAGTCCTTGAACGACGAATTGCGGGCCAAATACCATGCTTGCTTCGAATTCCCTGGGGCCTGGACCTCACGATATAGAATTAGCAATGTCTTTCTCCATTCCATCATCAAGGTTTGACTGGGAGAGATTAGGACCTCACCCTGAACTCACTTTGCGACGAGGTGTTGATCCTCCAGCCAACTGGTTCCTACCCTCCGTAAAAATATACATTTCAACTGTCTCCACCGGTCTATCAGTCCATCTTCCACCTCGTCAGCGGCTGGTCGGGCGTAATGCAACAACCTGTGACATACAACATTTCTGAAGGTCTGATTCAGTGTTTACACCGTGATAGAGCTCAAGTTGATTTGCACTTTAAAAATTTTCAACACGAACCAAGTCCATATCAATTCGCAGCTCCAAAGTTTTTTTTTCTTTCCATTACATCCGTTCGAAATGTTGCATTCATATCGTGATGCTTTTCAGACCTTTCCCGCCTAGTATCGGAAGGGATCGCCTCCAGTCACGCCTGATGCTGACCGTTCTTCAGAGTTCCATCGCAGACCTGGCTCGAAGCACCGACAGAAGTTGAAATGCCAGCTGGTATCCCAAACAATCAGTGTCAGATCGGATGGTGATAAGGAAGCTTCATCACTGCCTTTAGTTTGGGCGAGTGATTATTCACGTTTCATCTGGCGCACAAAATCGAACATTAATATTGGTACAGGTTGAAGTCCGGGACAACATTATCCCGCCTCATGCTGTTCCATTTACATCGGATGGTCGTGGTCCTCTTTTCATTGCCAGAGCTCATCTAGAAGTAAGTCTTCTCATGCAATTACACTATAAATTGCGACTCATGAATACAGGGAACATTTTGTAGTTCTGTTCCATCAGGCATCATCGTGCTCATTAATGTCACCAGCGACAGTTCTAGGTAAGGCTGGTCCTCAGCTCACTGGCGGTGCCATCGTTAGCTATGGAATTCAGGATATAATGGTATTAATCACGATCTCTTTGGTCGTCGTCCTGCTGAGCATATATGACCTAGGTGACCCGGTATGATGTACTCGTGTGCGCCGGACGGCTGAGTTGGGAGATCCCACATTCTTCTGGGGCAGGCTTTATGCGTCAGGACACCGTGATCACAAGACATGACATCAAATTCGATACCGAACGAACGCTCATTTATCGTCAGGATATTTCTGAAAACGCCCATAATCTCGCAGACGAGTCAAACCTTGATGCCAGGGCGGAACTGGGTACTTTTCGCCGTGACTTTGCGCAAAGTGGTAGTGTCACTACGGCCATGACTTCCGCCACTGGTAAACCTGAGTATGCGCCGGTGTCCCGTCCAAATGCGGTAGCATCATCGAAACCTCGAGTTCGTCTAGATTGCGCCATTCAAGAATCTGACGGGCTCTCTACGTAAGGTGACGTTATTAACTGAGGGATGTTTTTCAATCAACAAAGGATTTTTACAGCGTGGTTAGCGCTGCTGAATACTCTGCAAGCGAGCAACGCACTCCGGTCCGTTCGTTCGGTGGATCCAAAATCACAGGGTTTCGCGAGGCGGTCAATGTCGATCACCGGAGCGAATATAGCAGTCTACCGCCTGAACCTCCAGCTCAATCGGCACATGCGGGTTTTGTCCAGGATGTCTTGCCGCTTCGAAGACATCCAAACGCTGGTATCACTGCTTCCACGCCTGTACTAGTAGATCACCACAAGACAGTTCTTTTCGACTTCGGCAAGCAATACCATTAATCCTCGGTTCGTTAATAGTTCTCGTCCCTCGCTGAAGGACGACTCTCAAGCTACCTCCACGCATAGCTCATTTTCCTCTCACAAAATGTCGAGTGATTCGCCACTGCTACAGCTTTCTCTCGTGGCACTTGGGCAGGCACCCAAGGAAGCCCCGTTTTAGGTCTCTGCACCCTCGATGACGTCAAAGACACGAGCATATGAGCCAAAGTTGAAAGCCAGCCAACCGTCCCGTACGCCCTCCCACAGATAATATTGGCACCTCTACTGATTTAGGCGATTTTGGGCATGTCGATCAGTATTATCAATGGGCATATCCTGTTGCCAAGGCACATGTATGGCAAAGTGATGTGCAGGACAACAAATATCAGTCAATGGATACCCCAAGTCGTGTTCTACAACCCCCTACAACCCCCTACATTTCCATCCACTGATCCACCCCCAGCTCAGAGCTCTCTCGTTAGCGGTCATACAGATATCGATCTACGTTCGACTCGTTATTCAAATCATGGCGTGTCAAAGGGTCCCACCGAGACGTCCTACGAGGACGGAAACACGACCACCTTGGAGGAGCAGGTGTGTGGCTGTGGCTTGGAGCGTGGATGTGACTCCGAACATCGGCAGCTTGTCTCCCGAACAACTTTTGGCACCGAGGCGCAAACTTGTGATGGTGCCGAAAGCGATGTAGTTGCCAGCGAGCTTCCCGCGCCAATCGCCATCGATCCGTCGAACGCCGGGATCGTGACGGGCGAAGTCGATGTTCTTCCTGACCCTGTGCGACACGTCACTTCTATGTCTCAAGCCAAGGAGAAGCCTGGTCAAGTCTCATCGTACGTCTTTCCCGCGCTGTGTTCACCCTCGACTAAAATTGTCTAGCACTTTGGATTGATCCAACGCTATGCAGAGCGGATCGTTTCGTTGGTCAGGTGTTGGGTGTGGTTGGGAAGCTTCCGAAGGTCAATGCCGGCGAGCATCCTCGTTTTGAATATGTCATTGCATTTTCAAGGGAATCTGGAGCTTGAAGACAGTTTGTTCCTTCTCTGGACGTTCATACAGAGAAGAAACAAACACAGGTCTCAAAATTTGCCAAGAACGAGCTCATGGTGATTAATATTGATTTGACATTGGCTGTGGGCAGGTAACAGGCATGAGAGGGGCTCTCGCGAAGGTTCAACCGACTTCTTCACCCGCATGTACTGAAGTTGGAGGGAAGCTTTCGAGACATATTGAGAAGCATCGGTGGCTTGTAGTCAAGTGTTTCTGTTGGCTGAGTAGACTGATTAGCCACCTACTTGATGTGACCAGAGCCAATCTAGCTTACATATGTATCAATTCTGGAGCACGCAAATGCAAGTGTTTTTCATTTCAGTAGTAAACATGTCTATTGAGAAGAGTGGCTTTCCTGATCAGCGAAAGCTTGTGGGCAATAACTGAAAACATAGAATCGATCGTGGTATGTAAAGCGTTCCTTAAATTCATGTCTCTATTTCATGTACTGAAAGATCTTCAAAAAGGACAAGCAAACGGATGAGATACATTACTGATGATCATGGGTATACTCAGTAGAGGTGCAACAAATAAAGAGCCAGAAGCGAGTCTAGCGTCCACCATGTCTTGGTGCTACATGAGGATTAGCGCTCGAAGGTGTGGTGGAGGTGGGTACGGCAGTATGCGATTGGGAAGATGACTGAGCCTGAGTTGTGCCACCAGACTGTTGTGTGGCATTGCTATTGGGAGGACGTGGGATGCTTGCAGTAGGCTTCTTCTATTTCAAGGGAATTATTGGCCTCCGCCTTTCGTGTGCTGATGCGTACCTCTGTGTGATATGAGATGAGATGGGGTTTGAATATCTGAGAAGGGGAGTGTGACATACGCGTCGAGCCTGGCAATGAAAGACATCAACTATTGCTGAGGGATGCTCGTGCGGTCTTATCGTACGAGCCAGACACGATGCGTGTCCCATCCGGCAAGAACGAGAGTGAGTTAACTGAGCTGGTGTGCCCCAACAAGGGTTCGCCTAGTGGCTGCCCCGTCGCTGCATCCCACAACCGCACAGTGCGATCATCCGATCCAGTCGCAATGCGAGTCCCATCCGGCGATAACGAGACTGAGTTAACGTGATCAGTGTGTCCGCTGATCACAGTCAGAACTGCCGTCCAGTTGACATCACGTCCGGATGCTACACGAAGAGAGTTCGGAAACCGTGCAGAAAACGTTTTCAATAGTGCAGAGTTGAGTGGAGAGAATGGAAGTGCTGATACATAGAGATGAGGTGTGCTGTGCAAGATCATGCCGGCGAAGAGTTGAATGAACCTCTGCACGTCCATTGCAGCGGACGATGCATCTTCGTATCCGGCGTGACCCTGTAATTGCAATTACGCGTTAGTGAGCATGTTATCTGATGCTCGATAACCGAGTGCTCACCTTCAACTACTCGGCAATGAGAGGAAGGGCGGGGACTGCGCCGCTGAGCGCACTGATAAGACCGAGTACTTCGAGCCAGAAGAACAGTCGCTCATGGTCGAAGAATGATTTTGTTTCTGTGCCGAGTTCTGAATCGAACTTAGTGGCTTGTACGTGCGAAAGCCAGAACGGGCAGGCATAGGATAGATGTGGGGAGATGCGTTTGGCAGCTCGTTCTCGCAAACCGGGATCTTCTGAGTCGGGGAGATAGGATGATCTTGAGTCGCAGATATTGAAGGAAAGTTCGTCTTTCATCACTCCAAGCGGTGCGAAAGCGAGGTTTCGTTGAACCTTCGGCACGTCGACGAAGAACTCTCCGCTGTGTGATTCGTCTGTCAGGGAATCGCGAAAGGATGCGTGAAGGGGTCGAATTGGGGTGGATGGATGGGCGGTGCCGCTGAGGAGGGATCCCATGTATTCTATTATAACCTCCACTTTATAATGCTCGCTTGCATCTGGGAAATGGCTTCGCATGGCATTCAGGGAATTCAAAGGGAGGGTTCGACTGTGCAAAGAATTTGTCCCATCACGGAACGAAACTTCGCAAGCTGTGTTTGCTGAGACTTGAGGCTGATGTGTCTATCCTTTGGCATTATCTGCATCAGAATTAAGTCATACATATCATACAACAGGTGCTCCCGTTCGACGGGATCGCGTGAAACCATGACATTGAACGACTGGTCAGAAGATAAGCCAGGAGGTGCTTCGATCGATTCGCAAGCAAGACGTGCCCACTCGAAAAGACCGTCAGCTTTCTCGGCGAGGGCTGTAAACTCCGTGCTCCCAAAATGCTTAAGCCTTTGCAGCTTATTCGACACGTAAGCGTGAATATCGCGTTCCGCGATTTCTGGTCGGATGTCGTCCATGGAAATCCTTTTTAACGTGTTGAGCGCCATCAAACACGTTCTGAATGTACCGGAGGGGGCGAGAGGTGACGATAAACCGAAAGTTCTTTGGCAGCTCTGTGATTTTGGAAACATCACAGTTCTGAGATTTACCGGAAAGAATGTCAAGAAGGTCTTGGCCGCCTCGCTCTCGTCCAGTGCATCGATCACGATCACGACAGGGCCCACGGTTGAATCTGAGAGCTTCTGCATTGGTTCCATCAGAAGCTTCTCCCATTGCTGGATGATGTCAGCTGCAGTCTTTAGCGCACTGTCATTCTGAACTTTATCTGTCAGGGTTCGCCTCATCCCCCAATAACGATCAGCCAGGTTGCGCGCGATGGTAGAGAATATCTTCTCATGGCGACGGTCGGCTTCTCGATCTCGGTCAAAGCACATGGTCCAAGCCCTCCTGTATCGCTGAACGTGGGCGATGGTTGATTTGCCCCTGCCTGCAGGGTCAGACAGCCACAGGACCCGTGGAACGTCGTCTCCAGTGATGTTAACACAATCTGTGATCTGGGAGAGTACTTCCGTGCGCGTCCCTTGGAGGCATTGTTTCCTGGTGTCTATCCCTACGTTCGCTGCATAATCTATACCGCTAAGGAGAAATGTATAGCTGTTGCATCAGGAACAGGTAAGATATTCACCTGTACGGTGGGTGTAAATAGCTACATCCCGAGCAACTCGGTCCCGGAAGCTTTGCATGAGGGCATCCAACGCATCGCTGTACCGTTGAATTTCATTGTCTGTTTCGGCGAGAATGTCTTTCCCGAGTCTCTTCCCTGTCATAATAGTAGAAAAATTGAGCATGCGAAATGTGCAACAGCTTGAAGACTCACAGGAGATCTTGGTCTCTGAATGATCTCTGATAGAGCGGGCGCATTCAAGGGTCTGCTGAGAGATCTGTCCAAGAATACCGAGCATTGATGAAATTTGGCCAAGCGTCTCGTCCTGGATCATGAAGTCATAGACTCGATCCAACTTGTCGACAAGACCACGGACTGCTTGATCGCGGTTCGATTGGGCGATGATCGATGTCCATCTACACCGATGATTCCCAAGCGCGTGATAGAAACGAGAGAGGAACCAAACATGATTTTGAAGCACAAGACAAGACGCCCAGTGCAATCTTTCCATATAGATGTACCTGCAGAACGAAGTTAGTGCAATTCCAATCAACATGATTGGGCCCATACATCCGCGAGGGCCAGGTGAAACCGTGAAATTGGTCCTGCCGCGCCTATGGTGGACGACGGTTTGATTTGCCGTCATGCCCTGCACAATTTTCACACACCGCTTTATTCATATGTACAGCAGTGTTGCCTCGAGGCTTGCGGCCAAGGCTATTCCCTGCTATCATGTTTAAGCAAACGTTTCTACCCACTCTTCTCATTGGTCACGCATCCTTGTAACTAGTCAAGTCATACATGCCTGGGCGGAATGGCTTCATGTCCAGCTTGATATTGCACCCTCGTCATCAACCTTGTAATACATATAAATGGAGCATGGAGTGCATAAGTGCGTCGTATTGTTTATTATAGGTAGGACGGAATCTCATATACAACTGGTGCTGCCCCAGTGAGATACTTGAGTTTGCATGCCTTTCGGGCTTGTGCAATTGCGGTGACTGCTGACATACCCTACTCTCCTCCACGAGTCGGAGTCAATCTCAGGGAGTCAAAAACTGCTTGTGAGAACTTGTCGATATCGCGGTCAGTTACATCCCAAAGATTCGCCACCAGTAAAGGGCTATGCACGATGGATGTTGAGCAGGGAGCATGGATAAAATGAACTTACGACGTACCATCCAGCAAGCATATAATTAAATGGGGTGCCTACTCTGTCAAAATCACCCATCTCCTTCAGTAACCCGCTGGAGCACCCCCACAGCATTGTCGTTGCACAGCGCGGCAAATGACGGATTTTGTGTGACCGCACGTATTGTTCTCCTCCGCCGTGTCCGAAGTACCTAAAATCATCAAGATTCGATGCAGCAATTAGTCAAGAGTCACTCACGCTACTAAATCTTTCCGCGCGAGGGCATCTAAGAACTGCTGTTCGCTTGGTGGTCGTCCAATGACTCCCTTCCAGCCTACACTCCGCATTTGCTCAAGCCATGCCGCCTTCAAGAACAAACGAGGGAAGGTAAACTCAACTCCAGTAGACGATCCCCACATGTTCCTCGTCCTGGACCACAATGTACAGGGCGTTCCTTGGGAATATATTCCGGTCTTGAGGAGCCAGAGTGTGGGCCGCATCCCGAGCGTTTCGTTCTTGCTTGATCGGGTTCAACTTGAGAAGTCGCACAAGCCTTCAGTTTGAGTACCATGTGAATGTTGACTAGCATGGTGCACCTATGGTATACTTGCCCATGAGCCGGATAGTAAGTCTCCAGAGACAAAATTTGCTGCGACCTTTGGAGAGTCGAGCTGCAAGGCTGTATCATGGAGTATATGCTGTCACATGTGCAAATATAAGATATTATCCAAGGACATCAGAATTTAGTAGAGATGAGGCCCTGGAAGAATCCTTAGCCCAATCTGCGATTGCACTTCGAGACCAGCTGCCATCATAACCACATGTCCCAATTTTTGGTCGTTTCCCGTGACGTGCGAGCGCCTGACAAGTGAGTCTGTCTGATGTGGATGAGAGATTGCGTTTGAGATGGCCTGGTGGGTATGAAGTTGGTCGTCGTGGAGCTTGGGGGTTGAGAGCGTTGAAGGACGGCGTACCGGTGAGATTTAGGCGTGATTTAGATCTTGTGATGCGCATGGGTATTTGATCTGAGTCGGCCTCTTTCCTCTTTCTTTCACGAGCCCTTTGTTCTCTATTGCATTGTATCCCCCACGCCTGAGCGGCGCTCATGGCGCCCTGAAAAAGATCCCAAGTATCGCAGAGCAGCGTAAGTCGCCGTTCAAATTTTTTAGACTCATCTGTCGGTTGCGGGAAGCGTCCCTGAACAATCTCACCAATTTTATCTCGGTTGCACTTCGGCCCTGCGTTTATGACGGCAAAAGGAGGCGCAATATGACATGCAAGTGTTGGGAAATCGGGGAAAGGATATGTATGAGTTATTGGTGACTGGCCTGGCTCTATCCTCGAAATCGGCGGTGTATAGATTACGGCCACTAGGGTGTATTGAGTTAATTTTTCGAGTTTCCACTGCACGAAAGTGAGTATTTCGATAGTGAATAATACCATGAGTAACATACCTTTGTTAAAAATGATAGAGGAGCCTTGCTAGATGACGTGCTTTCCCTCCATGAAATGATCGTCTTGACATAATCATGCACGTCTTGCAGCACATGAATATCCGGTAAAAAAAACCAGTATTTCTGATCGAAAGAATGATGCACCTCGATACCTACTGTGGACTGAAATCAGCCTTGACTCACAAAAGATATAATGTGGGTTACAATTGAGCAGGTTTTGTCTACTATCATGATGAAAGTCTGAATACTTTAAGCCAAGGCAATATTCATAGAGGCAGAACTAAAGAAACGTCAGCATCGCACATCTCATAGTCTATAGAACCGCTTGCCATCTCGCGGGGGCTATTGCGTCGAATGACGTGAGCCATACGCAGAAGATTGGTGTCATCTTGTAGCGTGAGGATGCAATAGCATCCTTTGCGGTACATTTTGAAATAGTGCTCATTGAATGCGTCGCGGGTTCGTGAAGAAAAAGAAGTCCGTGATCCCGATTGCGAGTGACCAGTAGGAAGGGTTGAATAGACGCTGGAAGTCTTTTTCTTTGTCGGGGTGAATTCGTTGTGGCTTTCCATACGGTCGTGGTTGATGTCATCGTCATCGCGGCCATAATTTGATTCTGGATTCCGAGATGAGTAGTCCGACATCTAGTACGTATACTGTGTCAATACAATGTAAGATATCTCAGTTAAAAAAACTTACTGTGGATCTGGCCGTGTCGCAGAGAACTGAACAAAGCAAGTTTTGGGAGTGAGAAACACAAGGGAAATTTAGCGGGCATCGCGATTCGCTAGCCTGACTAGTAGTAGCGTGTGTTTGAATCCGTTTATTCCGTTTAATTTAAGCACATCAATATGTCTTATCTGGATCTTATCATTACTAAATTTTATGTTGTATGGTACTTTTTGTGGGGATATGGCGTTTCGTAAATGCTTCTTCTCTGCCTATTCCATTTTTTAATCTGCCGGTCAGTGCACGTTCATTGAAGTTACCATACGTTCAGCTGTGAACTTTCCCATTGAAGTTCCAATAAATTCCGGAAATTGTGAAACAGCATTCCAAAACGTTTCTGGATGGCCAAATTGGGCCAGGACGATGCGGACAGTACGGACGGGACGGACGGTCCTTTCCAAATTTCCGGAATATACAAGTTCAGTCCAGCCCGGGGCCATGCCGGACCTGTGACCCCGGACCTTGAGTCCGGTTTGGAAAGGTTCGGGTTCGAACCGAGGTTCAGACCGACCTGCGGCAGCACTAAATAATTCAATTACTATTATGACGTTATAACCCATTCACGACGAAATTGACAACTGTCGTCACAGAACCCAAGGAAGGACATCTTGACCACATCCTTCGATTCACTATTTTCCCTCGCGTGCATACGGCTTAAATGCAATGATCCTGACACTTATACGCCCACTCTCGACCTCCTCAATCGTACCACAATCCTTCTAGACTCTACCCCCGACCATGTGAGAATGCCATTCCGGCTTCCGCACGTGCCAACTACGTCCGCTGCATCTCTGGGGCATATCACAATCTGGCTGGCACGCTGCGCTGCATCAAAGCTCCGAGTATGGGGACGCGGCGCGTTTTCTGAAGGAACAATGTTCACTCGGGGCACGGGCACTTCACATACGAGCGGGTCTTATACAGGACGGCACAGAAGATGGCGAACGGGCCGAAGGGTGGAAATGAATCGAAGAACAGATGTTTCGGGGGTGGGAACTTCTTGCAGTATGCTGTTCTAAGATTGGAGACCGGAAGGTGATCATTTTGCATTGCTTACCTATCCGGAGTAGAACACTAATATTCCTGGGTACTATCAACTTGCGTGTGACGCCTTTGTGGAGAGCGTAAAAGCATTTCCGTATGGCTCGTCCGGTCTGGAGCGCCTGGCCAGGTCAGCAACGTCCACGAATGCTCTCAGCGCGAATGCAAGCACCAAGCAGCTTGGTGGGATAATTGACAGACTAACGTACACAGTGACGCGCGAACTTTTTCTCCCTGCAAGTGAAGTCAGCCTCCATACCGCCCAGTGTTAGTGTCACTACGACCATTACTTCCGCCACTGGTAAACCTGAGTGTGCGCCGGTCACCGAAACCAGGCGTAATTAGTGACGAGGTCCTAGGCCTGCTGCTCGAGCGTCAGATTTCGACTCTCGAACATTGCCTTCGGAAGGATAGTGTGCAGACTATTGTGCGCGGGCTATTACAAGATACTCTATCGGTGTACAAGGCTACTGTTCTTCCATTGCGCAGGGCTAGAGTGCTCTTCAAATGCATGGAGCTCTTGTAGAAGGATGGGAATGCTAATGCTAACGGCAGAGAAACTTCCTGGACCGCGGAGCACCTAGGTGAAGAAGTTTTAAACCTGCTCACCATTGAGGTATTTCTTTGCCTGGGTTCTGCAACTGTATATTATAAATTTTCCATTCCAGGATCTTGAGCACGACTCCGCCTTTGTGGTATTCCGCTCAAAGTACATCGCAGCAGTTTATCTTTGGTTAAGCCTCTTCGCGTATCGTAGCGCAGGATTACCAATGACTTCGAGCGCGTCATACCATGTAGAGGAGGCGTGCAACATCTTACGCGATGTCATTCCTAACTCTTCAATTGAAACGGATCCCAAGTTAATGCGATCACCTAGTCATGCGAAGAAGCCGACAAGAGTCGCGAACGTACGTACAACGAACAAGACAAGAGCGCGGAATCTTGCTCTTTAGTGCTTCCTTCTACTGTGAAGCCATGTGTTTGTCGGAAGCTTCTCCGCCCGAAGAAAAAGCTCTACCGACCGCTGAGCGCATAAGGCTGCGTGTTGGACGGCTCGAGCGTGCGGCGATGGCTTGCAGAGTCTCCGCAGCTGTCCAATAATCCAGGGTCTGTAGTTCGGTCGTTCATCACATGTGGTTTTCTGATTCGATTCCATCAGAACAACGCAGGCGGTGCTTTAGAGTACATGTCGCAATCATTGCGACTGTGGAATCGTACCGTGGACACGCTTTCTCCATTAAGCTAGCCTTCCTCCAAACCCACCAAGGCAACCGATGATTCATATCCATTCGAGGCTACCCCTCCAGAATCGTCACCCTCCAGCGATACTCGTCCAACGACCACTCGAAATTATCTAGTCAGAAATGTCTTATGGACGGGATAGAGTGTCGAATGGTTGAAGGACTGCTTTCAACCCTATTGACTCTCACTCATGCCTACTTCACTCTTGGTTCTTCCCGCGAAGTCGAGTATCTTTCTAAGCAAACACAGGATCTCGCCGAGTCCATTAATGCCCCGACCATGGTTGCTCGTGCACTGATGCGCATGGGTGAGATCCAGTTATACCAGAGGCAGCTAGATGCAGGAAAGGACTGCTTGGTCGAGGCTGCGGAGTTGCTACAGGATCTGCCGGGTGTGGATGCAGCTGATATGAGAGGGCTGAATGGAGATTGGAATCGCTTGAATGAGCAAACCCAGGACGCAAGGGACCTCTATGAGGTGGCATGTGCGATGCTTGGTGAACTCGAGGGAATGTTGGGGTCCTTCGACGGCAGGCGAGAGTCTTGGCTAGCGTTTCAATGCACTTCCTTTAATCAAACTTTCTAGTCGCCGTAAATACAGCGTAACGCTCTCACCACAAGTTACCTTAGCTGCCGCCGGACAGAAAGCAATAGTCCCTACCTTGTTGTCTGACATTCTCCGTCGCCATAGTAAGGAGCGTTGTTTTTAAACCTTGAACTTACTAACTGGTAAACTGCAGTCTGTTTACTACACGATGATGGAGATGCTGAGATCAAGGATCTGATAGAGCGTCTTATGGCTTTGTCCACTTCCCAAGACATAAAGGTGAGACTTTGTTATGGATTTCGGATTTATAGCTGAGTCGTTCACAGGGAAAAGAGCATCCACTTATGGGGAAACTTACCCTGCATAACGTCTACGACCAATTCCGTTCGGATATGTTTCTGAGCTCTTTGGCTGAATCTAGTAGGTATAGTGTACATACCAACCACCAAGAACTCATTATTTGTGTACAGCGATTGCACTGCTGACGAGCATGACAAGCGACCGAGCGGTATCGCTTACACCTTCGATCCAAGATATCTCGAGTACTCTGGATCAAGCAGAGAAATTCTTTTGGGCTGACCTTGGACTTACTGCGCACCGGGGGAACGTCCCCCACATCCACGAAGCGACTGTAAACCTTGCACTCATCAAAGCACTTCAGACATCCCCCATTATTGCTGCGTGCCTTCTTGCAATTTACCTGATGGAGCCTATTTTGACGCTGGACTAGATGCGTCATCTGCAATTACTCTACGCCGTGAAATGCTAGAGGCTATCAAGTATAAATTCCCCGGCGTGCAATTCGACGACCTTGAATGGCCCTTTATGACGCCCAGCGGTTCCCCGCTGCCTCGGAAGAGACCATTCTAATCTTCGGTGTTTGAGAACCTCCAACACTGAGGAAGCATCTGACGATGACGACGACTCGAGTGCAAGCATGAAGGCGTACTGGGATTCCATTCGCAAGACGTATGCAGAGCAATCTTTAGACACTTCCTTGCTATCGAATACGGCCATGTCACAGTTCCCGCCTATGTCAGCCTCACACCTGACAAGAGTACCCTCTTTATCTCTCGGCAGAATATTTCTTCTGAGCCGTTGATGTTCTGTGTGCCTCTCAAAGGCCGCCGCGAATCGGACGGAGAGGAACACCTCACGTTTGACGATGCGGAAAAAGGAGCTCGCTGAGATAATCCGCTTAAGCAACCAAGGGACACGCAACGCGGTCAACGTACGGGCATCCCAGTCGCTGTCGCAGATATAGATGTAGATCAGGTGATGGTGGATCTTCGCTGCGCGTTGGAGGAGCATGGTTTGAATCGCCCCTCAGTTCCTTTCAAGTCTCCGCTAGGGTCAAGCACTAAGAATGTCTTGCATGGATCCACAGATGTCCGATCAACAACACCTCCTGATCGGTTCTCAGCAGACGCAAGTCAAACCCGATCAAGCAAGAACGAAACGCTCGGGATGCGGCCCACACTCTGGCTCCTCAAGACCGGAATATATTCCCAAGGAACGCCCTGTACATTGTGGTCCAGGACGAGGAACATGTGGGGATCGTCTACTGGAGTTGAGTTTACCTTCCCTCGTTTGTTCTTGAAGGCGGCATGGCTTGAGCAAATGCGGAGTGTAGGCTGGAAGGGAGTCATTGGACGACCACCAAGCGAACAGCAGTTCTTAGATGCCCTCGCGCGGAAAGATTTAGTAGCGTGAGTGACTCTTGACTAATTGCTGCATCGAATCTTGATGATTTTAGGTACTTCGGACACGGCGGAGGAGAACAATACGTGCGGTCACACAAAATCCGTCATTTGCCGCGCTGTGCAACGACAATGCTGTGGGGGTGCTCCAGCGGGTTACTGAAGGAGATGGGTGATTTTGACAGAGTAGGCACCCCATTTAATTATATGCTTGCTGGATGGTACGTCGTAAGTTCATTTTATCCATGCTCCCTGCTCAACATCCATCGTGCATAGCCCTTTACTGGTGGCGAATCTTTGGGATGTAACTGACCGCGATATCGACAAGTTCTCACAAGCAGTTTTTGACTCCCTGAGATTGACTCCGACTCGTGGAGGAGAGTAGGGTATGTCAGCAGTCACCGCAATTGCACAAGCCCGAAAGGCATGCAAACTCAAGTATCTCACTGGGGCAGCACCAGTTGTATATGAGATTCCGTCCTACCTATAATAAACAATACGACGCACTTATGCACTCCATGCTCCATTTATATGTATTACAAGGTTGATGACGAGGGTGCAATATCAAGCTGGACATGAAGCCATTTCGCCCAGGCATGTATGACTGACTAGTTACAAGGATGCGTGACCATGGGGTTCAAATGGTAGCAAGAGAGCAATAAAACCAATTACGATGAAGATAGCTCCTGAAATTCAGATTGGCACAGATGTCGTGAGGTTCGCGTACAGAGCAATGATCAGGGCCTGTGCGGTAGATTAGAGAGTAGCAAGACGCACTGCCGTGAACAACAAATAAACCCACCATGACGCCAAATATCCTATTTGCAGCGGCCACGATCGCGTTACCAGTTCCACGATCTTTGGTAGGAAACAATTCGGGTGAAAGGGCATATAAGACGCCGTACATGACGTTGCTCATGTAGCAATAACCACAATTCCAACCAAGGAGCGCATTGAATGTGCGTGCGGTGGCCCGGGAGATGGGCCTCGTACTCATCTTTGAGCCGAAGCAGCGTCACTATTATGTCTGCACTCTCAACGTCCACAACGAGCGTGGTTTTACCCTTAATTCTAGATATCAGTGTTGATTCAATGCGGGAGAAGCACGCTGAGCCAACCTTTCTAACTCTCCTGAGCACCTTATCTCCACCCTCCCCAAACAACATATTCCTAAGTGCCGCTATCTGTGTACTTACACCTATCCTTGAAGATATGCCTATGCCCACATGTAATGCGACTTCATCAACAACGCTTGCATTTTCCACGTTCGCATACGCAGCTCCAGGTGAGAATGCAGTAGATACGCCCTGCAGGAAGGTCCGGGAGGGCGCTG